TTTACGCAATTATTTTTAAGTTCATTCATAAATCACATAATTATCAAAAGGTGATCAAGCTTCTAAAGCATTAAGATCAATAATAAAAACTCATTATGCAAATAACTTTAATTAAAAGTATAAAAAATGATAAAATTTATATTAAATTGATTAGGTTACATCGTAGTCTTAGTTGATTAAATTAGTTTATAGTAAAAATAATAAAACTTGAAATTATAGTTATGAATATAAAAATATAAATAATAAATAAAAAAATTTAAAGAAAAATAAAATCTAATTTGAAAAAAATTAAAATTCTTAATATTTATTGTTGATGAATCATTTATTTTGATTTTTAAGAATACTCACAAAAGAGAATTGCCACTAGCCTTCTCCCAAAACTCCTCTAATTTTAATCTTAAATGTGCATTTATAAGATTTTAAAAACTTTAATTGAAATAGATATAGGATGCAAAATAATGAGGACTTAACGTACGAGGGCTCGAAATCGCTCGCGGTGTCGGTACGCCAAAGGAAGTGCCGATACCTTTTTTTGGTTTTTCGCCCGGTATCCGGGGTTTTGCCCCGACTACTTTAGACTCGACCAGCTGTGATGCATCAGAATGGTGGGTGGATCTCCCAACGAAGACTACTACATACACAAGGTTTCGAACTCGAGATCTTACTTAAACTGGAACAAACCGCTTTCCACTTGATCCAACCTCTCGTTGGTAGTGCCGATACCTTTAATATATAGGCGAGGACCACTCCGTGTCAGGGATTTTGGCCTTGAAAGAAATTTTGATATATGCAAAATGAGAGAACTTGTCCATAACTTCAATTTTCTGCATAATATAATCCTCAAGTTTTTTACCTTTTTATCTTGGTCTTAAAAGTTATAATTTCTTCCAATTAAGTTATTTCTTGCACAAAAAATAAAATTTATATAAAATGAAGTAAAATTTCATAAACCCATTCAAATAACAATAATAACAAAACATAAATTCCACATCAAAGATTAATTTTTAATTAATAGATATAAGTCATTTTGAACACATATTAATTCATTATAAATAAATATTTAACTTTAATATATCCATTACTATTATATATCGCTTTTTTACTTTAATTTGCCTTATCTCTTCTAAATGCCAGTATTAGAAGTTTTTAAATCAAAATATGAATGATATAACTCATTAGTATTATTTTTTGAAGGTTGTTTGGATTTTTTTTTTTTTGAAATAGTTGATAGTTAATCTTTGATATTTAAAAATTGATAATTATTATTATCTAGAATTTAAAATATTTAATATGTTTAGTTAAAATTGATAGCTTTAGTTATTTTCAAAAGGATAAAACAAACATCCTTTTAGTATTTTTTTATTTATCTATGCTTCGTGTTTTATTAATTTTTATTAGCTTATTAGGTAAATGCTGATTTTAATTCATTAATTTTAAAGTTTTATTTAATTTTATCCTCTAATTTTTTTTTACATTTTTTTTTTAACTTTAAAAACTCGTAATTTTAATCCATTTGTAACGTCCGATTAAATGAATACGGGCATGAATTTTTCTTATTTCCTTGAATGACATGAAGATTCTACATCAAATAAACTATTAATATTATAAAACTCTTAAATGACATGGCAATAGAATATATATAATGTTTATTACACAATAAAACTACATTTAAATGATGACATAAGAAGTTTTTATTAATGAGTTGTCTAACCTTTAAATTAAAGAATAAGTTAAATGTGTATTAAATATATATTTTTATTATAAATTTA